GGCAGGTGGGAGGCGGTTAAACAGTAACTCCACTTTTGTTGAGAGAAAAACATTCCCCCTGGGTGATCGATGTACATTGCAGGTATTTTAACAAACTTTACTGCAGATTCCTACCTTTTGTTATTCTGAAGAAAGAGCAGTTTGTTTATCTGCGTTTATGTAGAAAGTGGATCTAATGGCAGTGGTTTCATAATTATCTATTTGCTGCTGCACTTGCAGGGTTCTAATGCGGAAAGTGGCAGGGTCTGCATCCCTTTAGACATGATTTTCCCATTGGGAGTAACTCCCCAAAAATGACATTTTTGTTTCAGGGGATGCCTGAAATCTGATTTGTATCTTAGTGCAGACTTATGGGAAAATCAGTGAGCCAATCACACAAGCATGAAATTACATTGCTGGGGGGCGTTCTGTACACATTCTGTGTATGGAACACTTCCAGATTGCCATATCGCATTGCATTTTACAGACAATTACAGCTTTGCAGATTGAAAATGAAAGGTATTTTTTTAATATTCATTACAATATGAATTGTGTCACAATTGTATATGCAATAATATTTATTTTATTTATTTGCATTTTTTTTTCTCCTATGAGTTACCCTTTTAATGGAAAATTGTTTTTGTGTAGTATGGGCTGTATTTTTTTCATTTATAGGCATGTGTTTTCCTACCATTCCACTCCAGTGCTCTATGCTGGCATAGCAGGTGTCCTCATACACTTGTATTGTAGAGAAAGAGATTGGCGTGTCTAACTAGGACAGTTAACCACTTGAGCTCCAGAGGATTTACCCCCTTAATGACCAGGCCTCTTTTTTGCTACTCGGCGCTGCACTAATTCAACTGATAATTGCGCGGCCGGTCATGCAATGCTGCACCCAAACAAAATTTACGTCCTTTTTTTCACACAAATAGAGCTTTTTCATCAGATTTGATCATCTGTGCGCTTTTTATTTTTCACGCTATAAACAAAAAAAAGACCAAAAATTTTGAAGAAAAAACAATATTTTTTTACTTTCAGCTATAAAAAATATATAGTAAACTCAAAGTTGGTTATAAATTTAGGCCAAAATGTATTCTACATGTTTTTGGTAAAAAAAATCCCAATGAGTGTATATTGATTGCTTTGTGTGGAAGTTATAGCGTCTACAAACTATGGTATAGATACTGCAACTTAGGCCATTTTTTTCTGCTTTATACAGCGCTGCGCTAGTTTAACAGACAATTGCACGGTCATGCAATATGGTACATAAATGAAATTTACATCCTTTTTTTCCCCACAAATTGAGCTTTCTTTTGGTGGTATTTAATCGCCTGTGCGGTTTTTATTTTTTGTGCTATAAAAAAAAAGGCTGACAATTATGAGGAAAAAAAAAAAAAACAATATTTTGGACTTTTTGCTATTATAAAACATGTCCAGTAAAAAAAAAATGCAAAAATCAAATTTAGTCATAAATTTCTGCCAAAATGCATTCTGCGACATGTCTTTGCTAAAAAAAAAAACCCAATACGTGTAAATTAATTTGGTTTACGTGAAGTTATAGCGTTTACAAATGGCGGGAAAGATACTGGGATTTTTAGAAGGTTTTTTTTATATCTTAATAATGGCGGCGATCAGTGACTTATGGCAGCGACCAGCGACTATTATGGCTGTGGGACAGCGCGGTGGACATTCTGACATTGGGGGGTACTGACTTGGGGTCACTGACATCCCCAAAAACAACTAATACAGTGATCAGTGCAAAAAAGGAAAACACTGACACTGTACTAATGGCAATGGGGAGGAAGGGGTTAACTTATATTTGCAGGGAAGGGTTATCTGAGTGAGGGGGAGTGTTTTACTAAGGGGGGGGGGGGGTGTGTAACTGGGCGGGACACCGCTGATCAAGAGAGATGAGGAAACTCTTCTGTCTCGATCAGCTCGTCCTTGAGCTGACAACAAGGAAGTGACAGACAGCACAGCTACTGCAGCTGTGCTCTCTGTCACTGTTTACCGCCGATCGTCGGGAAAACAGCCGCTAAGGACCGGCTGTGGAGTGACCCGGCGACTGACATCCCCCGCGGCGAGGCGGTGATCGGCGGGGACAGATAGAGCGGCGGTGCGCCTCACGCGCCCCCTATTTGTTTACAAAACACACGTTTTAAAACGTGGTTTTGCCTGCCAGTGCCGCCCTTGCCGCCATATTTTCTACAGTGGCAGGGTGGCAAGTGGTTAAGGATTGTTTAGGTGGGCAGCAAGGGCAAATTGCAGTTTTAAATGACCCCCAGCAACCCATATAACAGATAACATGCAGCATGAGGGAGCTGTGTAAGTGTTGCAGCTAATTTAAACCTGAAAATGTCAGCCATGAAATAATGAACAAAGCATATCCCTCTATCAAGTGTGTTATTTTATCTCTATCCAGAGTATTAAATGCCATTTTCTGTCTGCTACGCTCATTCCTCTGTTATCTGCCTGTGTCACATCTGACAGATTTTCCTCGGCACCAAGAGAAAAAAGGTGATAGGGGAGGGAGCTCCAGCACACAGCCTGTGATGACAGCCTCAGCTCTGTTCCTGTGTGTGAAGGGGGGGGGGGTGCCCTTCTCATCAATCAGCTCTGCAGAGTGTAATTTCAGCTCTCCGCCCCTGTGTTCTGAAAAGCTCAAAAAAGCTTTATAAATCTGGACTTTGAACGGCTTTAGAGAAGAAGAGAAGATTGCCAATAAACAAGTTCAACATATGTAGGAGGATTTGTTTAATTTCTGTGTATCACCTGAGACCAGTCACTACACTGGGTATATATATAAAAAGAGTTAACAACCACTTTAAAAACTGCTTTCATGTCGCCCTAATAGCATAAATACTGCTACAGGGCGGCAGGGGTGTGTGTGTGTGTATATATATATATATATAATATACCACATACACACACAACATACACAAAAATACACACACACACAACACAAAAATATATATATATATATAAAATAATAACCAATATAAATAATACACACACACACACATACATACACATACATACACATATATATAATACACAACACACAACATACATACACACATAATATACATATAATATATATATATATATATTATATATATATATAAATATACACACACACACACATACATACACACACACATAATAGTATATCTATCATATATATATATATATACACAACACACTCACAACACACATATATATATTCCCTGCCCGCACCCGTGATCGCCATGCTTCACCGACAGGGGAGAGACCTGTATGTAAACAAAAGTTCTGAAATATATTTATCTTTGTCTCATTTTTTTACATCAACAGAAACCTGACATTTTTAACGTGGTACATCTGGATAATCACACCCATTTGTATAGGTTATTCTTGGCTTGTCAGTTCAGAATTTTTGCTAAAAACTAAAAAGAAAAAATACTTTAGAAACAGCTTGCTGACTTCTTTTGAGAAAATGAGTACTTTTTACCTGTTATCTATCATCAAGAGAGGGGATGGGGCACAATGCTTTTGTCCTACAGTATTTTTGTTATTCCTTTCTACAAACCCTGCGACACACCCCCTTCCTGTACAGTTCCATTCTGGGTTTTATCTGCAAATGTATCACTAGATGTGGCCAGAAAGGGAAATACAACTCAGCTGCTTTTTTAGAATGTATTTTGAGCACCTTTTGGGAGCATATTAAATAAGACACATTTTTTAGCCATCACACTGCCAATATTAAAAATAAACTTTCCCGTTTTTTGTAGACTTCAAAAAACATATAAAAATATACAGACCAATAAAGATATTCAATAAAATTCTAATATGACCCCATAAAAGCTTGGGGGCCCCTGCTCTGGCTAACAAGGTCTGAATTAATTGGATGCCGCTGACTAGTGAGGGTGCAGGCTGAGAAAAGGTTTGTCCATTATACCCAAAGAGATAGGCCGACCGCTGCACACCTCACCTGGCCTGAGTGGTTAGCAGGTGAAAGCAGCCTCAACTCGATTCATCCAAGTCATGCTCCCAGTCATTGGGGGCATGGCTTGGATCAGTGGTCTCCAAACTTCATCCCAAGGGCTGAATGCGGCCCTTTTCTAACCTTTATAAGGACCTAGGGGCACTTTTCTTCCCATGATAATTGAGGTGTGTGGCGGTCGGGCCATCTCTTCCTATTTCTACAAAATATCTTATTCTTTGCAAGGACAGGCATGTCCACTCAAGGTGAGGTTCCTCAAAGTTTGCAGCTTACAATACAAACATCAGACCACTCTAGCAGCAAATGAGCTTAAATTAACAGGTTCTCTTGATAGGAACTCCATCTACTTCCACCGATACTTCCCTATACAGTGTTTCTCAGCTGTTCCATTCACCTGGCAGAGCCCTTGGAAGGACCTGGTACTTTAGGTATGGGGGAGCATGTGACCTTTCCTTAACCGATGATGCTGTGTTGGGTACCCAAGGTTCAGCATGTCTGGGCAGGGAAAATGTAATTTCATAAACTCTGAATGAACATGAACATGAGCTTACATAGGGGACTCTCACAGGTGAATCAGTTGGTGTAGGAGCACTAGGAAGTATCCATGTAAGTATCCATGTAAGTATCCATGGGAGAGACAGAGGGCCATCAAGAAAACCTTTCACTTTGCCTAAAATGGGCAAAATAATAACAGATTTATTTTCAAAATACTATTTATAAATGCAAAATTTGGAATATAATTCTTCCTTTTCCAAATCGAAGTCTGTCAGGTTTTTATTGACTTCCTGACATTGTCTTATAACTCCTCCAGATCAGTAAGATCCACAACAACCTTAATGAACAAGGTATCGTCTTTGATATAGCAGCCATTCCTTGGATTCTCTAGCTGGTTGTGAGACACGAAACGTGGACATCCAGAGGCAATATTCATTTCCCCTTCTGGCCTTTTAAAACTGCTACTGTGTGGGGGTCAGCTTTGAAAACCTCCACAATATTGTTCTTTTCCCACTCTGGTCAAGAAAGTATCAATGTGACCTTCTGCTTGAAAAGGCCAGGAGAGGAGTGAGTCAAACTCTCCTCTCATGACTACAAAGTACAGTGAGAAATAGTTTCCTTTGCCTGAACCATCCCCGTTGAGGTAGGCCCGAGCACACAGGCGGTAACCACATCGGCTGGTGTAGAAGTGTTGACTATAGATGGAGACCACACGACCTTCCACCGCCTCCCTCTTCTTCCTCTCGTAGTCTGTGATTTTCCAGATCAGCTTGCCGTTGTAGCAGGTGCTCTCTAAAAGTCTGAATCGTTCCTCGTTGTTGCTGAGCTGAATTTTTGTGGAGGTTAATCTGCATATTGTACTTGTTGAACTGGTTCTCTAGGTTATCTGATCAAGAAATTAAAGAAGAGTAAGGATTGTTTAACTCTAAAACTGGCGGCAAAGTCAAGTCTCTGCAATGGTTAGTAAAAAGAGCAATAAGGAGTAGTTATCATTGTGACCAGATTCATTGCCACAAGCAGGCGGACTTCCAATCACCCCCTTTTCTATGAAGAAAGGGCACAAAGCTCACACTGTGTCGGTCTTACACTGAGAAAACATTAGGGGGGCTTTTTTCCATGGGGAATGCAGTTCTGGCACCTCCAGCACTGAATTCATGTACTGGAAAGGAGTGCTATAGGGTCTATTGATGCTGGCTACTGGGTGATCTATTGTTGCTGTTGGGGATCTATTATTGCTTGGGTCTGTTGTTGCTGATGGGGGATATATTGTTGCTGGGGTCAGTTGTTCCTGTGAAGGATCTACTGTTTAGGGAGGAATCTATTGTTGCTGGCTACTGGAGAATCTATTAATGCTGGTGGCTGAGAGATCTATTGTTGCTGGCGGAGGTCTATTGTTGTTGGGAAGGTCCAGTGTGTCTCTATGGGGGTGCGGACACCAGAAAGGTGACAACAGGGGCAGCAGGGCGGCTTATAAGGCAGTACAGCCGACCCTAAGCAGAAAAGCCAGCTGTACTGCCTTCTGTCTCCTCTGGATCCCCCTGCAGCTCTGCCAGCTTTCCTCCCTCCCCGCTGCTCTGCAGAGGGATCTGTTGTACTTCCAAACTGTCCTGACTTTGAAGCAGCAGGGACAACTGCAGAGTCTCTGCCTTTGCCTCTTCTGGGTCCTGAAAACCTCATCCAGTTGTTGCTGGGAGGGATCTACTACTGCTATGAAGGGGTATAGTGTTGCTGGCTTCTGGAGAGTCTATTGATGCTGGCTACTTGGAAATCTGTTGTTGCTGGCAGGAGTCTATTTTTGCTGGGGTGGATCTACGAACAATTTCCATACAAATTACCGGTACTTAGCTCTTAGTTTACTTGGTTCTGGTTCCATAAGAGGGGGTAGTATTGTGAGGTTGGTAGGGGGAACCAAAGGATGGTGTTCAGAGGTGGGAAGGGGGTGACGGAGACAAAGGGTGCCTCAGAAGGAGGAAGTACCTGTAGCTATTCTCTGAATAAAAAAGGCCCTGCCCATAAGAAACCAATAAATTGTTAAAGGGTATTATTTTATAAGATGCCTCACCATCTGTCATTCCCCTTGAGGTCCTTCCTAAAATGTGGCAGATGCCTCATTGAGTACACGTGTAGCAAGACTTCTGCTGTTCCCTGTCTGATGGGCTGAGTCACTCTCCAACATTTTTGTACTTTTTGGGAATTCCATTGGCAACTTTCCCTCATCTCCTTCCAGTTTCCATTCACACACCTTGAGTATTTTCCTTCTGCTATTGCTTTTCATAATTTATATAGAAACTCTAATGGTTTTTTTGGTTCATTTTATTATATTACATAGGTTGAAAAAAGACATCTGTTGTTTGTGTAATATAAGATTCTGCTATTCAGATCTGTATTCACAGCACATCAGTAAACCAGCCTTCTAAAACCTTTTTTTCTATGCAATATTTATTATTTACTTGGTCAAAAGGAAGCCAACGGCAAAAAAAAAAAAAAATAGTTTAATATTTCTGGTCTTGCAACAAAACTTGAAGGGTTTTGGGCCCAAGTATGGAAATGATCAAGCAGCAGACTGAATTCAATTTAGGTACAGATCCAGCCAGGTAACTGCCAGGGGCGGACTGACAACTCATGGGGGCCCCCAGGCAATAGGGGATCATGGGGCCCCTGTGTCCTTGCCCAAACTCAAAAAGCCTATGGAAAAGGTACCAGGGCATCTCATGGGGCTCCCTACTGACTCCGGGCCCTCGGGCAGTGCCCGAGTTTCCAAATGGTCAGTCCACCCCTGGTAACTGCTAACATCTTTTGGAACTCCCTAAGAAAACACAGATACAAGAAACTATCCACTTTGGAAGCAAAGTTTCCCCCCTATGATCTCAATGTGGTTTATCAGTATAACCAAAATCCACTCTATGAAAAGTATCACAGCAGCTCTACGTGGCAAAGAAGAAAATTCAGGTGCATGGGGTTTCATTGGACTTTTTTTCTGTCCCCCTCCCTCCCTGTTTTTCTTGTTCCCCTTTCTTTCTATACTCTGTCTTAACCAATCTACATTGATGTTTGTTTGTAGTGGGTAGTTTCAGACGGGGTAATTGCCATGCCAAAGCTCAGCTAAGCTTTTCACATAGTGCTTACTATGGGTACTCTCTATGTATTTGTTGATTGTTCAGTTTGTCGTTTTGTACTGTGAAAAATGGGGAATGTCCCCTTGTGTGTATGGATGTCTTGGTGCAGCCGCACCCCAATCTGTTATGCAAAAATGTAATAAATAATATCAAAAAAAGCTTAGACCTGAATATAATACACAATTAAAGAAAAAATGTAGAAAACACTATTCAATCTATAAAAAAATTGTGTTTTTTTGCCTTCTTCTGGATCAATGATAGGTTTATTGTTCAGACAAGGCAAGGTTTTTCATTCATTTATATTTGGTTGATGGACATGTCTTTCTTTTTAACCTGATTATGTAAGAATGCCGAAAAATCTCAGCAAACAGTATGGAGCTCGTCTTATGGTTGTGAGTGCTCATTAGCTCTACCATAAGGGCAAATGAACTTACCACTTATCCGTTGGATAGAATTATAGACAAAGATGGTGTGGCACTACACAGTCCACTAATAAGTGATATCACAGTTATCCCTGCCTACCTTGACATGCCTGTAAAACACTAGATGATAGTTTCCCAATACACCTTTTTATGGCCAAATGGATAATGATCCATTGGGGTTGATTTGCTAAAACTGGAGAGTACACAATCTGGTGCAGCTCTGCACAATAACCAATCAGCTTCCAGTATTTTTTTTTTTTGTCAAAGCTTAATTTAACAAGCTGAACCTAGACGCAGATTGGCTACCATGCAGAGATGCACCAGATTTTGCACTCTCCAGCTTTAGTAAATCAACCCAATGTCTGCAGACCAGCAAAGCAAAACCCCAAAAAAAGTGTGAAAATAACTGTCCTTCTGTATCTAGCTACTTATACACTAAACAGGAATGCTTGTGTGGCTAAAGCAGGCCATAGATGGCACAGCTTTTTTTTTTTTTTTTCATTCAGCCAGCAGGCTCAAAAAAAAAAAAAAAAATGGAACCAATCCCCCCATGCACACATTCGAGGTGGAGAAGGGAATCCTCCCCATTCTGTCCTTGTATTCCAACAGTGGGATTACCCCACCATCAGAATGCACCGATAGGCACTGCAGCCAATTGGCTGCATGCGCTGATCAAAATAAAATTGTCCAACAAGCCAGTTCATGAGCAGTCGATTGATAGATGAACTTCTCATGAACAGAAACGACCATTGATGGATCAAAATTCTGCCAGTTCCTGCTGAATTGGACAAATTTTGCTCCATCTATGGCAATCTTACAGTATTCCTTTTCATGAAAGAAACAGGCATCATGAGCTACCTGGACCATAAATTTACAGTTCACTGTTCTCCAATGTCTATGGCTAACTTTGGAATTGGACTCCTGCTACAGTAGTTGTTCTAACTCTTCCTGGTATGTTCTTCTTAACCAATAGTTGGAACACTAATGGTAAGTGTGTACACCTGGGAAGTCAAGTACAGGGAGTATAAAAGAAATTAGGTGATTAAGCCCTCCTGAAATTTTGGGTGGTGTGACCCGTTAAAAGGAAACTGTTCTAATTAGCAAATGAAGCTGTAAGCCAACAGAAACAAGACTACACAAACTGTTCCTCTTCTGAACTCCTTGTAGATCATTCATGATACATATCTCCAGCTCACTAAGAGTAGATACATACCTATGCGTTCCTTGTAGTTCTCAATGGCGGTCACCTTCTGTTTGATACACTCAATGGCCTCAATTAATGGCTTCAAGTCATGGCGGCTCTGCTCTTCACTTATTAACTGTACTAACTGCATCACCTGTTCTTCTAGCCAGGAAGCCTTTTCCATGTAACTAGCAGAGTCTAAGAAAGAAAAAGCAATAGACAGTTGTTATAAAAGTACTTACATGAGTTCTGATTTTTCATCTTAAATTGAACTGCCAGCTTTGCCTCCATTTGATCTGCAGATGCCATGGGGTTTCACATGTGATTAGTTATGACATCAGCCATTTGATGGCTTGACAGTTTGTTTGAGAGTGCAAGCAACTGTGACAGTTATTCATGGCATGCCTTTAATGTAACTGTTTTGTGAAAACATTAAATCAATGGGTTTAATTCCCAAGCAAAACAAATATTTGAGAGTTGCAATGGCTTAACAGTATGTGTATATCTCCTGAGTGTGTCCTCATTTTAAAGCTTCAATGCTATATAAAGTTATAATATCATGAAATGCCAGTGAATATAACAAAAACATACAAAAAAGCAAATAAGTAAACAGTGTTCAATGTGCCAAACGTAACCCAAAGACTTACAATATTGTGAAATGATGCAGTGACAGTGAATATAACAAAATCATTAAAAAAAAATAAAAAACAAAACAAGAAACCAGTATTCAATGTGCCAAACATGAAGTCTCTTTTAAATCAAACTCCATATATGTTCTGATAAAAAAGATATTCCACCATCCAGCAGATCCTTTTAGCTTAATAAAAACACCAAGTGCCACCACCCTAATCAAATGCACACTCACCAAACCACAAGCTACACAGGTACAGCAGACACAGCATGTTTCTTAAGCATAGATCCTTCCCAGGTGTGTGCACCTCCACTCCAAAATCACTCCCAACAGAAAGTCAGTGATCAGGGCTGCTATTAGAAACCACAGGGTTCCATACAGCAAATCTGACATCACCCTCCCCCTCCCCCCAAAAAAAAACACAGTTAACTATGCTTCAGTTATGAAGGGACACCATGAGTGATTGGTACCAATCACTCATTGTGTTCATTCAGGAAAGGAAGGGCTGGTAAATGTGACATATTTTCTGAACCCATCCCCCATTCTCCATCCTGATGAATCCTGTTGTGTGCTGGCAGTTGCTGGTGGGAAGGAGAGGAGGGAATTCTGCAGCACAGTGAGCATCAGGGCACACAAGGAGGCCTGGGCAGCAGGGGGAAATATACGGTGTACAGGGAGGGTGATGGGTGAAGATGGGGGGGGGGGGGCAATTACTAAAACTGATCCCCTGTATGGACCTCTCTGAAGTAGCTGAAAGTCAGCAGGAGGGAGGGGAGAAAAAGCCAGCTTTCAGCTGCTATGGAGAGAGCCATACAGTGGATCGTTTCCAGTATTTGTCTCCCTGCCGTGCCGATCACCCTCCCTGCCCACATCTGTTTCACACAGCTGCCTGGGCCCTGTACAGGACGACTAGTAGTACCCCCCTTACCCTCGGTTCTGCCACTGATGGTGTAGTGATTCCAGAGAGGACTAGTGGTACCACCTTACCCATGGCCCTGCCACTGATGGTGTAGTGATTCCAGAGTGGACATACATACACTTGGGGAGGATCTATGCTTAAGAAACATCTTGAAACAGTTTTGTGTCTGCTGTACCTGTTACAGCTTATGGTTTGGCAAGTGTGCATTTGATTAGGGTGGTGGCACTTGGTGTTTTTGTTCCACTACAAGGATCTGCTGGATGGTGTAAGTTCTTTTTTTATATGCACATATATGGACTTTGATTTAAGAGAGACTTCATGTTTGGCACATTGAACACTGTTTTTCTTATTTGTTTTTCTTTTTGCATGTTTTTTGTTATATTCACTGACACTGCATACCATGTTTCACGATATTGTATTTCTTTAGGTTTGCGTATATCAAATTTTGTTTGCCTGCAGTCACATGTGTTGTCACAGTGCAAATTCATTACAATACATTTAATGCTATATAAAACACTTTAGAAAGCGGATTACCTCCTGATAGGGAATCACAATAATTCCTATACTGATCTGATGGAATTTAGCAGCAGTGCTGTAAACCAGTGGATAACTAAAAGCAATGACCAAGATGTCAAACATTACTTTCAATGCTTGGACTGTATGTGCCAAACCCAGACTGTGATATTGAGTGTTTCTGTTTGGAGAGGCTCAGTATAGCACAATGAGATTGCCAAACCAATTTCAGTATCTCCCTGGGAGTAGGATGTATCTTCCCTTGCAATGGGGCAAAGTGTGGTAACGTGTAGGAGGGAATAACACTCTCCATCTGACAGGTCCAGGACAGCCCCCCTATTAAGCTACATACAGTCATGGCCGAAATTGTTGGCACCCTTGATATTTCTCCAGGAAATCATGTATTTCTCACGAAACGTATTGCATTAACACATGTTTTGCTATACACATGTTTATTCCCTTTGTGTGTATTGGGACAAAACAAAAAAAGGGAGGAAAGAAAGCAAATTCGACATAATGTCACACAAACCTCCAAAAATGGGCTGGACAAAAGTATTGGCACCCTTTCACAACTGCGGATAAATAAGAATGTTACAAGCATGTGATGCTCCTGTAAACTCACCTGGGGCAAGTAACAGGTGTGGGCAATATAGAAATCACACCTGAAAGCAGATAAAAAGGAGAGACGTTCATTAACCTTTGCATTGTGTGTCTGTCTGTGCCACACTAAGCATGGACAACAGAAAGAGGAGACGAGAACTGTCTGAGGACCTGAGAACCAAAATTGTGGCAAAATATCAACAATCTCAAGGTTACAAGTCCATCTCCAGAGAACTAGATTTGCCTTTGTCCACAGTGCGCAACATTATCAAGAAGTTTGCAACCCATGGCACTGTAGCTAATCTCCCTGGTCGTGGACGGATGAGGAAAATTGATGAAAGATTGCAACGCAGAATAGTCCGGATGGTGGATAAGCAGCCCCAAACATGTTCCAAAGACATTCAAGCTGTCCTGCAGGCTCAGGAGCATCAGTGTCAGCGCGAACTATCCGTCGACATTTAAATGAAATGAAACGCTATGGCAGGAGACCCAGGAGGACCCCACTGCTGACACAGAGACATAAAAAAGCAAGACTACAGTTTGCCAAAATGTACTTGAGTAAGCCAAAAGCCTTCTGGGAAACGTCTTGTGGACAGATGAGACCAAGATAGAGCTTTTCGGTAAAGCACATCATTCTACTGTTTACCGAAAACGGAATGAGGCCTACAAAGAACAAAACACAGTACCTACGGTAAAATATGGTGGAGGTTCAATGATGTTTTGGGGTTGTTTTGCTGCCTCTGGCACTGGGTGCCTTGACTGTGTGCAAGGCATCATGAAATCTGAGGATTACCAAAGGATTTTGGGTCGCACTGTAGGGCCCAGTGTCAGAAAGCTGGGTTTGCGTCCAAGATCCTGGGTCTTCCAGCAGGACAATGACCCCAAACATACGTCAAAAAGCACTCAGAAATGGATGGCAAAGAAGCGCTGGAGAGTTCTGAAGTGGCCAGCAATGAGCCCAGATCTAAATCCCATTGAACACCTGTGGAGAGATCTTAAAATTGCTGTTGGGAAAAGGTGTCCTTCCAATAAGAGAGACCTGGAAAGCGGAATTACACTCCGACAGGGAGCTGTTTGCAAAGGAAGAGTGGTCCAAAATTCCGGGTGAGAGGTGTCAGAAGCTTATTGATGGTTATAGGAAGCGACTGATTTCAGTTATGTTTTCCAAAGGGTGTGCAACCAAATATTAAGTTAAGGGTGCCAATACTTTTGTCCAGCCCATTTTTTGGGGTTTTGTGTGACATTATGTCATATTTGCTTTTCTGCCTCTGTTTTATATTTGTTCCAATACATACAAAGGGAATAAACATGTGTAATAGCAAAACATGTGTTAATGCAATACCTTTTTTGTGTGAAATACTTGATTTTCAGGAAAAATATCAAGGGTGCCAACAATTTCGGCCATGACTGTAGGACAGCGTTACTGTAATAAGAAATTGCTTGCAGCACCCAAGAACAGATGTGCTAAACAAGATTATTTACTTGTGAATCGAAAGTGTTACAGTACAATGTATGTTAAAATGCACTTTTAAATTTAAAGGAGGCCTTTCTATTGTGTGATATTGCCAAACGTTAACAACCCTACATAGAGAACATGAAGAAAGTATTCCCCACGAAATGACTCTAACATGGAGAACATGGAGAAGGTATTCACCGTGGAATGAAGAGATAGGTGAATTGGTTGATATCCGGGTGACACATACACTATATTGCCAAATGTATTGGTCGGCCTGCCTTTACAAGCACATGAACTTTAATGGAATCCCAGTCTTAGTCCGTAGGGTTCAATATTGAGTTGGCCCCGCCCTTTGCAGCTACAGCAGCTTCAACTCTTCTGGGAAGGCTGTATACAAGGTTTAGGAGTGTGTCTATGGGAATGTTTGACCATTCTTCCAGAAGCGCATTTGTGAGGTCAGGCACTGATAACTGACGAGAAGACCTGGCTCACAGTCTTCCCTCTAATTCATACCAAAGGTGTTCTATCGGGTTGAGGTCAGGACTCTCAGCAGGCCAGCCAAGTTCCTCCACCCCAGACTCGCTCATCCATGTCTTTATGGACCTTGCTTTGTGCACTGGTGCGCAGTCACATTGGAATAGGAAGGGGCCATCCCCAAACTGTTCCCACAAAGTTGGGAGCATGAAATTGTCCAAAATGTCTTGGTATGCTGGTGCCTTAAGGGTTCCCTTCACTGGAACTAGGGGGCCAAGCCCAACCCCTGAAAAACATCCCCTCACCATAATCCTTCCTCCACCAAACTTTACACTTGGCACAATGCAGTCAGGCAAGTACTGTTCTCTTGGCAACCACCAAACCCAGACATGTCCATTGGATTGCCAGACAGAGAAGAGTGATTAGTCACTCCAGAGAACAAATCTTTACTGCTCTAAAATCTATTGGCGGTGTGCTTTACACCATGGCATCCGGTGCTTTGCATTGCACTTGGTGATGTAAAGCTTGGATGCAGCTGCTCGGCCATGGAAACCCATTCCAGGAAGCTCTCTATGCACTGTTGTTGCGCTAATCTGAAGGCCAATGAAGTTTTAGAGGTCTTTAGCTATTGACTCTGCAGACAATTGGCGACTTGTGCGCACTGTGCGATTAAGTATGCGCTGACCCCACTCTGTCATTTTATGTGGCCTACTACTTCATGGTAGCTGAGTTGCTGTTGTTCCCAGTTGCTTCCACTTTGTTATAATCCCACTAACAGTTGACTGTGGAATATTTAGTAGCAAGGAAATTTTACAAATGGACTTATTGCACAGGTGGCAACCTATCACGGGACTTGGATTCACTGAGCTCCAGAGAGCAACCCATTCTTTCACAAATGTTTGTAGAAGCAGTCTGCATGCCTAGGTGCGGGATTGAATACACCTGTGGCCATGGAGGTAATTGGAAACACCTGAATCCAATGATTTGGAGAGGTGTCCCCATACTTTTGGCAATATAGTGTATGTATGGCTGTATTTCAGCTGAAATCTGTCATCAACAGAAAAAAAAAAATTGCCCAGTGATGGGCCGACTTCTCACCTGTGAGCTGGAGAAGTGATTTCCATTGGTGCCTCCAAGCTGCACAAATTGCCGACATTCCTTCTCACACCATTTGACCGTGTTTGACAGCTCCTGAATTGTGCTCTCTTTGTGTTCCAGACTCTGCTGCAAATCCAGCATCTTGTGAAAGAATATAATACACTGAAATCAGGAATTAGGCACAAAAACTTGCAGAACAGACCATAAGGGGTTTATTTACTAAAGCTGGAGAGTCCAAAATCAGACTCCCTTCTGCATAGAAACCAATCAGCTTCTAACCTCAGCTTGTTCAATGAAGCTTTGGCAATGAAACCTGGAAGCTGATTGGTTTCTATGCAGAAGGGAGTCTGATTTTGGACTCTCCAGCTTTAGTAAATAAACCCCTAAGTGTCCACAAAATTAATAAGTCACTTGCCCAGTTCAGCCAGTTATGTTAGGACTGGTAATGCTTTGTGCCTGTAGTTCCTCCAGGCCAGATTCAGCCAGGATGGTTAAGTTTTCCTGACTCATATCACTCTCCTCCCAAGATAGTAAAGGCCAAAAAGAGAGGGCATTCATTGTCCTCATGCAAAATCTTCAATAAAACTTTATTATTATTTCTCACACACACAAAGATGGTTACAAAATAAGAATGTAAACAGAAAGGGGGTTATTTATTAGGACTGGAGAGTAGAAAACCTGGAGCAACTTTGCATAGAAAACCAATCAGCTTCCAGGTTTTATTGTCAAAGTTTATTTGAACAAGCTGAAGTTAGAAGCTGATTGGCTACCATGTACAACTGCACCGGATTCTGAGTGCTTCAGTTTTAGTAAATCTACCCCAAGGTGTCCATCCTACTATAGACTTCCTAGGTTCACCACATCTGAATGACCAGCTATAGGACTCATTCAGCAATAGTTGCTGCCTGATTTGTGCATAGTGCTGACATGTTTCAAGGGCAAAACCCTCTTCATCAGGGCTACCTAAATTGCATAAAATGCACCTTTAAATAGTCTTCCTTTTATTCCTAAAACATCTCTGAGGACCTTCCCTCTAAATCTACATAGAGGACGTTTACAAACAGCCTACATCCCTATTGAACGATATCCCAAAAATGATAACATTAAGAATGTACACTTTCGGGATTTCATTCCTTGAGTTCTGATTCCCACATGTGCGGTGCGGATTGAAGCTCAGGTTTCACAGCTATCTGATACAGTAGTTGTTCACTGTTCATGTCAGGTTTACATGCGGTTCAGGACAGGATTAGATCGGTTCAGGACAGGATTAGATCAGGTTCAGGACAGGATTAGATCAGGTTCAGGACAGGATTTTATCCTGTTCACAACTGATGTCATATACGGTATAGAAATGGTTCCCATAGAAGTCAACAGCCTGCAATCCGCACCTGAACCAGACCGCACTGCTCAGAAATCGGACAGGATTCTTTTGCAATCCACACTGAATCTGCACCGCCAGTGCACTGGACATATGTGAACAGGCACCATAGGAAGCAATGTTATTTCACATGTCATATGGATTGGATGCGGTTCAAACCACATCCAATCCACATATATGTGAACCGACACTAATAATGTAAACTGTTTGAATACACCTTCTATGTACATTTTTCAGGGATGTTTCATGAACAAAGGGAAGACTATTTAACCACTTCCAGACCGGACACTTTTACTCCCTTCCTGACCAGGGCAATTTTCAGCTTTCAGCGCTATCACACTTTGAATGACAATTGCGCGGTCATGCAACACTGTACCCAAATGAATTTTTTACCATTTTTTTGAGACAGATAAAGCTTTATTTTTGTGGTATTTATTCACCGCTGGGAGTTTTTTTTTTTTTTGCTATGTAAATGAAAATGTCCAAAAATTTTGAAAAAAAGTGTTTTTTTTTATAAAATTTTGCAAATAAATAATATTTCATCATAAATCTTGGCCAAAATGTATTCCGTTATCTTTTTAGTAAAAAAAAAAAAATCCAAATTAGTTTATAACCAAAAATTATAATTTTTAAACATTTTTTTTTACATTTTTATTTTATTTTTTTTATTATTTTTTATTTTTATTTTTTTTTTACATACTGTCACCCTAGCAGTACAGTGTCCCCATGGTGACACTGTACTACTTGTGGGGGTGATGAAGATTTTTTTTTTTTTTTTTTTTACACTGATTGCTTTTACACCCATATAGGATGTAAAAGCAATCATTTCTGTTTCTCTCTGTCTGCATTCTTGCAGTCATTGAGAAGAACTGAGTGAGCTGTGATTGGTCACAGCTTGTCACATGGTACAAGGCTGTTGTGAATAGCCTTGTACCATGTGACCTCTGTGATCATTCACAGATTTCACACGTAGTAAGCAATGATGTCACAAGTGACCCCTTGCTTACTACTTTGCATGTGATCACTGATTGGCCAATCAGTGATCACATGATCGGGACCTCGTACAGAGGTCCCGTCCGACGATCGGTGTTTCACTGTGTCGGAGGACACAGCGGGCACCGGATTGCGGTGCTGCGCGCTCCCAGGGAGCGCGCACAAGCAGGGTGCGGGGAGGCTGTTTATAAACGGCCACCCAACCCTGCAGTGCCACCGTCCGGCCGTTTATATACAACGGCCGGTCAGGAAGTGGTTAAAAGGCACATTTTGTTCAGGTTAAGTAGCTCTGATGAAGAGGGTTTTTTCCTTGAAATATGGAAAACGTTTCTATACCGCACATGTAATCAGTTGTGAACAGGATAAAATCCTGACCTGAACCTGATCTAATCCTATCCAGAACCTGATGTAAACCTGACATGAACGGTGAACAACTACTGTATCAGTTAGCTGTGAAACCTGAGCTTCAAACCGCACCACCACTGTGGGAATCAGCTTTCAAGGAATGAAATCCCAAAAGTGTACACCCAAAAGTGGACGCCTTGGGGTAGATTTACTAAAACTGAAGCACTCAGAATCTGGTGCAGCTGTACATGGTAGCCAATCAGCTTCTAATGTCAGATTGTTCAAATAAATTTTGACAATAAAACCTGGAAGTTGATTGGTTTCTATGTAGAGTTGCTGCCCTTGAAACATGTAAGCACCTCGCACAAATGAGGCAGCAACAAGGGGTGGCTGATCGAGCCCTATAGTTAGTCACTGAGGAAATTCATACCAATATGTAAGCTATGTTTTAAATGCAGATTTTGAAAGCACATGTGTGAGTATCATAAATATGTATTAATAACATTTTATTGAAAACTTTGCATGAGGCTGGTGCTCTCTTTTTTTTGTCTTTTATGGTATATTTAAACATGCATCTAAATCCACTGCTCCTCTGAAAAGTGATCCATGCTTGGATCTCCTTTCAGAGGCAGGTGAAAGACAGTGAGGGCACGCTGGTCACAAAAACTTAAGTATATTCCTCAAAATCCACAAAGGATATAAATACACTCTGTGTGCACCAAATAATCTTGCAAACACAGTTATTTTGTGGGTTGGCAGTGACACCATCACTGTGCTGTACATAGCCTGGCAGGCCCCATCCACTGCAGACTGCTGGAGAAAACTACAGGAGGAGGGCAGAGACAAGACCAGTCACTCTGCAGAAGCAGAGAGAGAGGCAGGGACCGGTCTTTATTATAGGAATCTCTTGCACGGAGGGAAAGTCTCACACTGGATTACTGCACAGGTCTGGAAGAAATACACAAAACATACCAAGGGTCAAGGAAGAACACACAGGATGCTTGTATTCAGATCATATTTGCTCAGCTTTAGGGTACTAAACATTTTCTGCTACAGTCACAAGCTAGGGGTGACACCTCTTACAATCTAGGGCGTGCCCATTCACAGACGTGTTTACCTGCTTCTCAAGTTTGGTGTTTCTGTTCAGTACGTAGAGCATGTGGTCTTTGAGAAAAGTCTCTTCATGCAGTTTCAGTTTAGCCCTTTTTACCTGCAAAGATAACAGAAAAACATTGTAAAGTTTCAGTGGAACTCTAACCAAAATGTTTTCATTTTGTTTTTGGATTGAGTGGTTAGAATCGATGTTGGATTTTTATTGTCTCATTGTGGACATCTCTCCAGAGGCAAAACAGACAACATTAAAATACTGCCTGGAATTGTAACCCTTTTCCATCCTCCTAAAAGATGCTTTGGAATAAAAAAAGGAGCAGTGGAACAAAGGTTAGTGTATCCAGCAGAGAGAAGGTGGAAGCAGGTAGACACCTGGCCATCACACCAATCTGAGCTTGTTGGATCTCCCATTCCGAAGCCACGGCCATTAATTTGGAGTTGTCCTCCACTCATTTGGCTATAACAGCCCCCATTCTTCTAGGAAGGGTTTCTACAGACGTTTGGAGTGTGCTGAGAGATTTTGAGCTCATTCAGCCAAAAGAGCGTTTCTGAGGTTGGGTTCCGGTGTTGGAAGAGAAGACCTGGCTCCCAGTTGGCATCCCAAAGGTGTTCAGTAAGGTTGAGGTCAGGGCTCTGTGCAAGACCCTAAAGTTCCTCTACACCAAACTCATCAAACCATGTCTTTATGGAGGTGGCTTTTTGCAGAGGGACACAGTCATACTGGAACAGAAAATCATCTTCTCCAGACTGTGTCCACAAGGTTGGAAGAGCACAATTATCTAAAGCAGAGGTGTCCAGCCTTTTGACCTTACTGGGCAACACTGGAAAATGGGGAATTGTCTTGGGCCACACATAAAAACACTAACAATAATGATAGCTGATAAGCAGAACAAGTCAGGCAGATCACAAATTAACGATAATTGATATAGATAATGTACCTATCGGAGTAATAAAACATAATTTTTTTGTATAAAAGTAAAAGAGGGCAATATAAAACTAGTGCAATACATGAGTCTACGTATTCAAAGAGTAGTGGTTAATGATTCATACTCTGAATGGTCTAGGGTCATTAGTGGTGTACCCCAAGGTTCAGTGTTGGGACTCTTACTTTTTAATATATCTATAAACTATATAGGGTCTGGGATTAAAAATCCCATTTCAGTCTTTGCAGATGACACCAAGCTGTGCAGTGGAATAACGTCCTTACAGGATGTCTCCAACTTACAAGCCGACCTCAATGCTCTGTGTAATTGGGCAACTATGTGGAAATGAGGTTTAATGTTGATAAATGTAAGGTTCTGCACTTGGGGGCTAAGAATATGCATGAATCATACATACTGGGGGGGGTACAACTGGGGGAATCAATGGTGGAGAAGGATCTGGGAGTTCTGGTAGATCACAAGCTTAATAATGTCATGCAATGCCAAGCTGCGGGTTCTAAAGCGAGCAAAATCCTCTCTTGTATTAAAAGAGGTATAGACTCCAGAGAGAGATATCATTTCCCCCGGTACAAATCATTAGTAATAACTCATCTGGAATATGCAGTTCAGTTTTGGGTACCAATCCAAAAAAAGGACATTGGGGAACTGGAGAAAGTGCAGAGAAGGGCAACTAAACTGATAAGAGGCATGGAGGAGATCAGCTATGAGGAAAGATTAGAGGAACTGAATTTATTGTCTCTTCAGAAGAGGAGATTAAGGGGGAATATGATCAACATGTATAATACATCAGTGGTTCATATAGTGATCCGGAAGGAATTTTATTCCCTGCAGGAGCAAATTGGATCATGCTTTACTGTTTTTTTTTGCCTTCTTCTGGATCAACTGTGGGTGTAGGACTATAACCTTTTTTTTAAAGGTTGAACTGGATGGAATTTTGTCTTTTTTCAGCCACACTAACTATGTAACTATGACACTGTTTTTGATAAACTCATCAATATCTAGTTGGATGGGTGTAGTATCGATTCTCAATGAATTCTCAAGGTGCTCATCAGACATTTAGGTTCCGATTTTTCCCTTTATGTGCTTCATCCTTGAAAATAGGTGCTCACAAATATAGGTGCTGCCGAAAACTGCTGACATAAATAAGGTGTGATTGTGAAGAACAGGATAGTTTTCTTTGGGAAGATAAAACTTATAAAAGTCCAATCAAGAGACACTGTCAAATTTTAATTCGGCTGCATGTGTTTGGTAAGTGTTAGGTTCCGTTCACACCAGTGCGATTTTACTGCTTTTTGCAGAAACGCACTGCAGTCCATTTAACATGGTTTCCTGTGGAAAATATTCCTACCAATGCTTTTTTGAGTTGCTGTGTTTTTGGAAAAGGTCGGGGACGTTTTTAAAAGCAAAAAGCAGTGTTTTTGCTAGAATAGATTTCAATGGAGAATCTGCTGAAATGCATGGTAGTGTGTTTTTGCAGCGTTTTGAATTTTGCATTTTTATTCTGCCCAGCAAAAAAAAAAAAAAAATCCACTAAAAAAAAAAAAAAAAAAAAAAAGAGCTAAACAAAATGCAAAATGCGTCAAAAACGCATGTAGAAAAATGCAAATTGAACTGCGAAAAGCACTGCAAAATGGACAAAAAGCAAACTGCATAGGTGTGAACAGAGCCTAAACGCATTTTTATTTAAAAAAAAAAAAACAAAAAACATTTTTATGTAAGTTTACAATTCTGTGTTGAGCCAAATTCATTGCCGTTTTGGGCCGCGGTTGGACAAGCCTGGTCTAAAATATCTTTGTATGGTGTCGTATTTACAGTACCCTTCACAGGAAACACCTGAACTCAATCATAGTAGCCAAATAGTGTATGTGGTTTCATGAGCAATAAGAAAACCTCCGGAACATGAGGAATTATTGTTTTTGTGGTTTACCTTTACATAGCAGCCATAATTGGTGAAAGGACAATCTACCTCGGCTTCAGGACAGATGGTGAGATGTTGGTCCAACTGTAAAACAAGTATATCCACTTCTTATTAGCTGGGCTTCTCTTTCGAGATAAACTTTAACATTATTGCGGTGCAGGAAATCGCATGTGTTTCGGACAGGAATTGCACCGCATTCCTGTTCAAATCACATGCAATTCTTTGTATGGCTAAAATCACAATGCAAATCGCACCGCACCCGCACATAAGGTGCAGGCACTTATTTTCTTGCACTGGAATCAGATTGCATAGGTGTTCATACCCATACAATGCAATTCAGCCAATTGCACTGCGTTTTGCAAACCGTTTTTAGGGTGTTGCTAACTTAACATAGACACCTGCAGTTGTTTGCATGAATGGAGTGCGATTGTGATGTGGTGCGGGAAACGCTCAAGAATCACTGCGAATCCCGCACCGTATCAGTGCAAACCGGCAGTAAAGATTAACACTTAAAGAGTCTACCTTAAAGATGTTTGATCTTTGATGCGACTTTTACATTTTTAAACATTTGCTGTTTCAGATTTTGTTATTACAATTACAGTGTGTCACAGTGGGCGCTCCCCCCCCTCCGCTGGCCCGCATCTGTGATGACCCCCTGCTGTCTCTCGTCCTGCCGCTGCTCTTTGAAGCTGAGCCGCACAGGATGAGAGGTGCAGCTCCTCTCACCTCTGCCACTATCTTATGCCCATCTGGCAAAGCTGGAGGGGACAAGATAGTGAGGTTCACACCTCTCTGCGGAGAGGTGTGAACCTCCTGCAGAGATGTCCTGGACCATGGCATCAGGCTGACGCCGCACGATCCCGGCATCCGCAGCACGGGCACGAGGAGTTCCCGCGCTTGCGAATGCCTCTGGACAAAGGCCGCGCTCATGAGAGCGCGAACCATGTCCAGAGGGGCGTGCCTCATTGTCGAGCAACGGGGCACACCGCCCACCGTTGCCCGGATGACCGGGAAGCGTCCTGCATCGGCTTAAAAGACCGATGCCGGGCTCTCCCTGATCATCCTCTTCTGCTGCCAAGCCACCGAGGGATCCCCAGCTGCGGCGGGACCCTCATGGCTAACTCTGCCTGAAGACCCAAAGGATAAGGGGAGACCACAGCCACTCAGCCGGAGACCCCCAAGCTAAAGGGGGAGACCGCAGTCACCCTGCCTGCAGACCCCAAGGATAGGGGGAGACCGCAGCCACCCAGCCTAAGACCCCCAAGGATAGGGGGAGACCGCAGCACCCTGCCTGCAGACCCCAAGCCTAGAGGGAGATCGCCTGCCAGCCACCTGAGACCCCAGCTAAGGGGATTGCCTGCCAGCCACCTGAGACCCCAGCTAAGGGGGTTGCCTGCCAGCCACCTGAGACCCCAGCTAAGGGGGTTGCCTGCCAGCCACCTGAGACCCCCAAGCCAAGGGGGATTGCCTGCCTGTTGCCTGAGACCCCAAGTCAAGGGGGATTGCCTGCCTGTTGCCTGAGACCCCAAGTCTAGGGGAGAGACAGCCACCAGCTGCCGGAGTCCCCCAAGCCTTGGAGAGGGACTACGAGACTCCTCCGGACCTCAACAGGTACCTGTGATTTATTACCTTACCCCTGGGAGACCGGGCACCCTGTCGGATCCGTGAGCGTATGTCTCCCCCTGTTTTACCTGAACTGTTCCAGTGAGAACCCCTTGCCCTTGTTGGATTACAATCTGCCACAGAGACTTTCCCTTTGCCCTTGGTGCTGCACTATAAGAGTTTTAGCCCCTTTCTCGCTGCCCCCTCCAGTGGCGAGACCACCCTCCCGGCAATCCCCCCATTGAGTGACTGTCATTTTTTTGTCTCAATAAAGCTTTGTGGGTTTGCCATCTGCTCTGTGTGTTCTGTCCTGCCTACCCTCCGTCACACAGTGGCTTAGTGGTTAGCATTCCTGCCTAACCCTAGGTTCACACCTGCGCAGGTTGCATTTGAGTAATTTCTGCGTTGCATTTTGCGTAGCATTTTGCATTTTTGCCACATTTTTGCACTTGCGTTTTTCTTTTTTTTTTTCTTGATGCTAGGCAGATTTGAAATGCAAAACACAGCAAAAACGCAATACATGCTTTTCTGCAGCATTCCAATTGAAGTCTATAGAACCAAAAACGCAATGTTTTGCATTCAAAAAAG